GGAGTTTTTAGAAGATTATGATTGTACGATCAATTATCACCTTGGAAAAAGCTAATGTAGTAGCTGATGCTTTGAGTCGTAAAGTGCAAGTAGTTGGATTGATGATTAAAGAATTGTACTTGTTAGAGGAGGTTAGTAGTTGGAACCCTCGTCTTGAACCAAGAAAGGTAATCCTTGGGAACATTGTCGTGAAATCCGTTTTGCTCGATCGTATCAAGGAGGCACAAGAGAAGGACTCAGAGGTTCAAAAGTGGTTGAAAAAAGTTAGAAAGGGGGAAAAGTCGGATTTTAATTTGGGAGTAAATGGAGTACTGAGATTTCGAAATCGCATGGTAGTGCCAAAGGATGAAGGGCTAAAAAAAGAAATCTTGGAAGAAACTCATTGTTCTAAGTATACGGTACATCCTGGAGTGAATAAAATGTACCAAAACTTGAAGATCCTGTATTGGTGGGAAAATATGAAGAAGGAAATTGCTCGATTTGTCCAAACTTGTTTCATCTGCCAGCAGGTTAAAGCCGAATATCAAAAACCATCTGGCCTATTGCAACCTTTGGAGATACCCGAGTGAAAATGGAAAAATATCACCATGGATTTTGTATCTAGATTACCAAAGATACAAAGAAGTCACGACGCCATTTGGGTGATAGTGGATAGACTAACCAAATCTGCTCATTTTCTACCGATTAGTATGAAGTATTCCCTAGAGAAATTAGCTAAATTATATTTGGATGAGATTATAAGGCTACATGGGATCCCAGTAAGTATTGTGTCCGATCGACACTTTCAGTTTGTTTCTCGATTCTGGCAGAAGATGCAAGAAATGTTAGGAACTAAATTGAGTTTTAGCACTACCTACCACCCACAGACTGATGGACAGTTAGAGAGGACCATTCAAACTCTTGAGAACATGTTGAGATCCTGTATTTTTGGATTTTGGAGAGAGTTGGAGTGAATACTTGACATTTGTAGAATTTGCTTACAATAATGGCTTCCATCCATCCATTCAAATGGCTCCATATGAGGCTCTTTATGGCCGGAAGTATAGATCTCCGATTTATTGGGATGAAATAGGTGAAAGAAAGATGTTAAACCCAACTGCAGTACCATGGATTGAGGAGGCGTACGAAAAGGTAAAGTTAATACGCCAAAAGATTCAGACAGCCTAGAGCCGCCAAAAGAATTATGCAGACAATCGAAGGAAGGATTTGGAGTTTGCGGTTGGAGATCAAATTTTTCTTAAGATCACTCCTCTAAAAGCAAGTTTGATGGCAGGAAGAGGAAAGAAGTTGCAACTAAGATTTGTAGGACCTTATAAGATTCTCCAATGTGTGGGAAATGTGGCCTATAAGTTGGAACTGCCACCAAGTTTCTCTCGAATTCATAATATTTTTCATGTGTCTATGCTCAAGAAGTATGACCCAAATCCCTCCCATGTACTGCAACCAGAAAATATTGAGATTGACGAGGAACTGACTTATAAGGAGAAACCAGTGAAATTTCTGGATCTTAAGGTGAAGGAACTAAGGAATAAGCAAATCCCGTTGGTAAAAGTTGTATGGAGAAATCACGGATTAGATGAAGCAACTTGGGAGGTAGAAGAAGAGATTCGAGAGAAATATCCAAACCTATTTCTGAATCAAGGTATGAATTTCGTGGACGAATTCTTTTAAAGGGGAGAGGATGTGAGGACCCATATTTTATTCTTATTTTAGTCTATTTTATAATTATTTTACCTTAGTGTTATTTAATTATACTTTTTTTTAGACAAAAGGATTGTTGTTTTTATTGATCAGAAAGCATTAGACCGACCGCCCGATGAATTCGCTTCCCTATAGCAATGTGAAATCGTTAGAAAACAATGACGAAACTGAAGCAACTCCTCCAGCTCCTTCTCCAACTGCCATGGACAAGCACTAGCCCCCTGAACGATCCGAATGAGTGTAAGCGAATGTGCCTTGATATGTATCTCTTGGAACCCTCGGGCAATACAGTATTTAACACCCACCAGGAGCCCGCGTAACTCTGCATGCAGGCTGCTCATTGTCCCAAAAAATGTAGAATAACCGAACACAAAATTCCCATGATAGTCTCGCACCAACCCACCCCCTCCACTCAACCCTGGGTTTCCCCGAGAACACCCATCAGAATTTAACTTCCACCCTCCTTGCGGCGAGATCCATCGAACCGGTTGAATGACCACCAGCTTCTGGCAGTGGGCTACCTCATAAAGCAATCCTACCCACGAGGATGCTGACCACCTCATCCTCAGGAATTGCACCTGCAAGATGTCTCCTAGTAATTGGACGATCCGATTCACAATCTCTCTAATACTCAACTTTTGCCCTTCAAACACCCCCTATTCCGTGCCTTCCACAATTCCCAGCAGACCACTGCCGGGAGAACCCTATTCAAAAATGCCAAAATACTATTATGCCCTTTCCTCAACCACCAAAACCACACCATATGCCGCATCGTATGCGCCCCATCCATTTCTCCTGCATGTATCTCAAAGTGACGTCAAACTAATCTTGCTCCTTCCCCAGGCCAAAAAACGTGCTCCATGTCCTCCTCCCTAGGATCCTGGCAACACCAACATCAAGAAGGGCCCCATACCCCAAATCTCCTTAGTTTTTCCATAGTAGGGAGCTTGCCTTGTAGTAACCGCAACATCAAGAAAGAGATTTTAATTGGTAGACCGTGGTGCCAGACAGCTGCAGCATTCCAAGATCTGTTATCAACATGCCGGACCAGGGAGTATGCCGAAGACGTGGAGAAGCTACAAGAAGGCGTCAACGTCCAAACCATTCTATCTGGACCTTGAAAGGTTGGGGGGGCCACATCCAGGATGTGCGCAACCAATCTGCCTCCAAGTGTTGATTAAGCATCGCAATATTCCAGACCCCCTGATCTACAAAATTAGCAACCAAATGGTCGTGGAATATCTCCACCTTTTGACATAACGCCCCTGCCCCCATCCAATTGTCATGCCAAAAACTCATCAAGCCCTGCTTCACAACCCAACTGATGTTGTTCTCCATCACTTGCTGCACTGCACTCATCCTCCTTCACATTTGAGAGCTCCACGGACTAGCCTCCGCCAGAGAAGGATGTAACCCCGAGCAATATTTTCTTGATATGAACTCTGCCCAGAGTGATTGTTGCTGCCTAAATTTCCACCAAAGCTTAACTGAGAACGAGTCGTAAACACCCTTCAACCCACGCAAACCAATACCTCCTTCATCTGATGTCCCCCATAGGAAGTCCCAAAATGTGATGTCCACAAGGCCTCCTATCGAATCCAATGGAAATTAGTCCCAAAGTCTGATGTCCCCCACAGGAAGTCTGCGAATATCTTCTCCAAGGACACGAGAACCCCCTTTGGCGGAGAAGCGGCTGCCAGCAAGTGTGTTAACATTGAAGCTAACACACTCTTAAGCAGTACCACTCGACCTCCAACAGATAAAAACTTATTCTTCCACAAGAAAATACGAGTCACCACCGCATTATAAATCTTTGGAAAGTAAACCTTTTTCTGCCATCCAACATACAGAGGACATCCGAGGTAACGTACCGGAAAAACTCGCCTCTGAAACCCAAGTGTCTTGCCAATCACTGCTGCCTTCTGCGGCGGAAACTTTGGGTGAGTCAAGAAGCAGCTTTTTTGGGAATTTATCCACTGTCTCGATGTCACACTATACTCGTCCAGTACCCTTTTAATCAGACCTAGCGAGGATCTCGCTCCATTGGAGAAGATGATGACATCATCGGCATACGCCAGATATGTTACTACAGGACACCGAGGAGGGACTTTAAAAGGAATGAACCGTCGCTGAGTGGTTAACGCATTTAGGGCTCGAGAAAACACCTCTGCTCCGATGACAAATAAGGTTGGCGATATGGGATCCCCTTGCCGGAGACCCCGTGACGACTTGAAAAAACCTTGAGGAGCGCTATTGACCAATACCGAGAACTAAACATTAGAAACAAGGCGCTAGATCATGTCAATCCAGGTCTCAGAGAACCCAAAGCAGTGAAGAACTTGTAAAAAAAAATGGCCACGAGACTCTATCATATGCTTTCATCATGTCTAATTTAATCACCATGTTCCCACCTCGATTAGAATTCGTGATATCTGATAACAACTCTTGAGCAAGAAAGAAATTATTCGCAATCTGTCTCCCTTTCACAAATCCGCTTTGCTGTGGAGATATGAGCCGGGGCAGTATCTTAGCCAATCTCTCCAATAGTAGCTTCGAAATGATTTTGTTAGCAAAATTACATAGACTGATAGGTCTAAACTGAGTGAAATCCTGAGGGTTTTCCACTTTTCGCAGCAGTACAATCGATGTAGCCGTGATAATCCTAGGGAGCTCTGCCCCACAGAAGAAACTCACCACCGCCCGATATATATCCATAGCTATCACCTCCCATGCAAAAGTGAAGAATTTTCCTGTGAAACCATCCGAACCCATTGCACTTTCCTCATCTAGGGAAAAAACAATGTCCTTCACTTCTTCAAGCCGCGAGATCTCCGTTAACAAAGTGTTGTCTTGGACAGTGACTAATTTTGGAATGAGCTCCAAAAAATCCCTGGCCGGGGAACTGCTATCTGCCGTGAATAACTCCTGGAAGAAACTAACGGCCGCCTCACCAATCTGTGACTTCTCCTCGAGCCACTCTCCGTCCGACTTCCTCACCCGATGAATCATAGCACGACGTCTCCTCTCCGCAACCAGTGAATGGAAGAACTTCTGTGACGCCCCCACTTCTCCCTAAGGCGAACCAAAGGGTATCCGCGGGACGCCTGCCCAGCTCTCGCCAGGACTCACTACAATCCATCATTCAAGAGCTCGAAATACTTTAAGTAACTTCAATACATAATTAAAGTACTTCAAATATCTCACACTTACAATTATGTAGCTTTCAAGCTTAAATACAACCCAACGGAAAAGGGGTACAATAGCCATCCGTTATAATATAACTTAAAGTTTCAAAAGAAAACAATCTAGTACTACTCACGAGCACCCTTGGTCTCGAACCCTGTAAAAGAAAACCACAACGTGGAATGAGCTACACAGCCCAGTGAGGTCCCAAGACACTCTAACAGTTCAAATAAATCAAGTAAGTTGGGCATATCATATGCATGGTTCAAGGTTACACAATGGCATGTTATCATGAGGTGATAATTTTTGTACGGGTAATTTGAGACATTTATCATGGTATGAGACATTGGCATGTATAGTTCACGAGTGATTGGAACTTATTACCGGTGCGAGTAATTAAACATATTACAGGTATGGAGCATTAACATGAAACAGGTTTCATGATATGAGTACATTGAACAGGCAACAGGTATGGAGCATATCGCAGGCATGGCTCAGGATTTCATGTTGACATTTTAGCATGAAACAATTATCATGATACAAGGTAAACATATACTGTAGGATACGGTGTTCCAGTGGAACTCTGTCGGTCATCTGTACCTTATGACTTCCAAATCCCCTCGGTTTGACTGGCCATCACCTTATCCCTCCAGTGGTAATACTCGAGTATACCGAAACGGTGTCCCAAGGTTCCAACCTACCCGACCGAGCCCAGTCCTGGCTCGAGTAGGTTAGTAACGATGAGAAGGGCCCAATTCAGCTTAGAGCTTACAACATGCACAAGTAATCAAGTAATTCGGCAAAAGGTAAAATTCATTATTTGAGTAGGTCGAGTGAGGTAAAGTACACACTCGCCTAACAATGATGGACAGCTTCATATAACATGCGATTCATGATAATCAAGTGATCAAGTAAGTTGGTGATCACGTAAGCAGATAATCAAGTAAGCAAGTAGCCGAATGGATTAGAAAACGGTAAGTAAACACGGTAAACGGTGGTAATTACGGTTAATTGGTAGACATATGTCATTTTAATAGGCCACCATTGGCCGTTTTTCACTTTTTCCACATAAGAGTCGAGGAGATTCACTCCAACCGACTTTTACTGTCATAGCATAATTAATCATTTAAACACATCATGTAGATATGCTCTCCAAGCATTTCATATCTAGTATTTCAAGTAATCACATAAATATGCTCTTTAAGCATTTCATATCGAATAGTTCAAATATACATATTTCAGGTATTTCATGTCGAGTAATTCAAGTATACCTCATTCAGATATGCATGAGTGTGGTAAATACTTAACATATAGCACTTAACACTTAATAATCATGGGTTATGCATGTCATAGACTTATTCCAATTACGTATTCCTATATGGAACACTCACCTATAGCAACAAGAGAGTAATACTCAAACAAATGTCTAGGCGTCCACTTCGAGTTCCTCTTGAAGGTCCCCTTGAGCGCCTGGGCAAATAACCATTAACTATTATACACTATCACTTAGAACCCCTACTTATCAAAGAAGGTTATACAATCTAAGGAGAATTCATTAATTGGGCCTTAATTATTAATAATCGAGGCTCAAGAGTAAAGTTTTAAAGTCTAAAGAGAGAGACTAATATTTTCCATGAAATCGAGTTCAAAATGTTCAATCGGTATCGAGAAAAGAAGGCAAGTTTCCAAAATCTCATTTTCTAAGAAATTGACAAATTTCAGCTTTGGGTGTCAATTTTAGAAAAATTGTATCTTGCACTATGTAGGTCCAAAATTGGAAAGCTTGATACCGTTGGAAACTTCTTCAAAAGCGCTAAAAGTTCCTAGAAGATAATTTTCCATGATTCCAAACAGAAGGTATTCAAAAATTGACTCAAAGTTGCTGCTTGGGACCATTTAGACAGTTTCGGGGTTGGTTTTTGACCATCTTTGAAAATCCGGCAAAATTCATACAATACGAACTAACCTCCGAAATTTAGAACTCAATTAGAGCTACAATCAAAGTTTAAAACAAAACAAACGGTACAAGAATTGAAGTTTTGAGTGCCAAGATATAGCAGCTCAAAGTTGGCTAAAAATTCCTCCTCGATCAAGAATTTCCAGATTTAAACATGAACTTTGGGACTTCGTTTGAACATCTAAACAGACTCAAAATGGTACCAAATTTGGTATGATTATACTACCATAAAAGGGCTATTCCTCTGTCAAATTTCATAGAAAAATATGCACGGAAAGTCACTTAACGAAATCACTCAAGTTTCCAAATTTTTAAGGCAAAGCTGCCTCGTGTATGAAAATTTCCTTTTCTAAACTTTTGACCAAGGGAAGATACCTAAAACATGTCTCGTTTATGATAATCAGGTCTAGCAAGAATTCAAAATACATTTGATAGGTGATTTACATCAAGTATTTCGAAATAACAAGTCCCAAATCATTGTTAGTTACAAATCTGTCCAAGTGGAAAATTCTATCACTGTAGCTGTTTCAAACTTTGGCCACAACTCACTCAATTCAACTTGGAATTGGGCGTGGTTGATGGCGTTGGAAATCTCTCTCATAAAGCTGAGTTTTCTCAGAAGAAACCATTTTCAAATTCCATTCACAAACAGCTCGTTTTTGAGCATGAAGATACAAGTCCTGTCCTGTCTCCTGGAGAGAAACGAAACAGGACAGTGATTTTCAATCGAATGGTGTGGCTCCCTCAAGTGGAACCAGAACGTGAAATTGGCACCAATGGAAATCTGGGAATGTCTAGTTTCCAATGCCACAAACGGTACTTGATTTCGACATCGGAGCAAAGAGTTATAGCCGATACAAAATGACTGCCTGGGCAATACGGGATTCATTTTCCAGTTTTGCTAACTTTGGAAATCAACTCATTTGACCAACCAAATCATGTTATTTTTCAATGAAATTTTGTACACACTCACACTAACATGTAAAAAATATAATCAAGTCATTAGAACCTCAAAATTGTGCACAAAATGGTCGGACAAGACAGGGGTAAAACGGTCACTTTTGCTCCAAGCACCTCCTATGATTTTCTACCAACAATACAACATTAATCCACTAATTTAAGCACTAAACCACCATTAAATCCATCATCAAGCATGAGATCAGTCCTCAAGACAAAGGTGGGAGTTCATAGAGCCCACCCATTTCATTTTACACCATAAACAAGCTACCCAAATGCAAATACTACCTTATACATGTAAGATGATCTTCATAAAGCAAGATTTAAGTGTTGGATTAACACCTACTTGATTAGAGGATGAAGGCAGAAATTTCGGCCCCTTAGATGCTCAAGAAAACCGTGGATAGCAGCCCTCTTTCTTAGCTTGATGTAATCTCCAAGTAATTAGCTAAGAGTGGTTGAAATTTGAAGTGAAATGGAGAAGATTTGGTGAAGAAATTAGGATGGAATTGGAGTTGTTTTTCTCCTTTGTTAGCCGGCCAGATGAGGAAGCAAGAGAGAGAGAGAGTGATCAGATTTTAGCTTCCAAGAGAAGGTTCATTTGTGTGGCCCATAATTGTGCAAAAGTCAACCCTACTAACGCGCGCACTCGCGCGCGTTTCGTGCTCGATTCCTCTCGCGTTTGTTTCACTAGTGCACTAAACCTCTAATGCACTTATATTCATATAAATATCATTCACTCTTAATTATCTCAAAATAAGGGTCTAAAGTTCCTAAATTAAAATCACGCGTGTGAAAACGCGTATCTCCAATCTGAGCGCGATAACGCGAAACTTCCGAGAAATTCTTATAACGATAATACTAATAACTATCACTTGAGTATTTAAACATTAAAATACCTAATTTAGGTCTATTATACAAATCTCCAATATTCCAAACTTATTGTACTCTCAATCAGTCAAGATTTCCAAAGACGTGTTCACTATTTTCACTAAACGAGCTTCCGGAAATTAATTTTTGAAACAAGTCATTTTAAAAATATAATGAAACTATATTTCCATGTAATTAGGTCTCAAGAGCTTAGAAAATAATATTCGGAGTAAAAGGCCAAATAAATAATTAAATAAGCGAGAAATGGGAGATTAAATAAGTAAATTTTGCGAGTCCTCACAACCTCCCCTCCTTAAAAGAATTTCGTCCTCGAAATTCATACCTTCTGTAATCTCAGACAACTCTGAACCGTGTGGTGTGTTCATGTCATGCGTTCTTTCAGATGCCACTGGTCGGTTTCTCCTTCCATTGACTTGTCGAGAGACAGTTCCATTTCCTTGTTGAGCAGTAGTTTCTCGTGGATACCTCCTTGGACAGTCATGAACTTTATGGTTGGTACTCCCACACCCCATACACTTTCGTCCCTTTAACCAACAGTTTTCTTCAGTGTGATTCGTCCTTCCGCAATATCCACAAGTCGGACGAGGTATTATGACCTGACTGGCTTGCGAGGTTTTCTTTGATCGTGTCTGTTCTACTGAAGTCTTTCGCGACATAGTTCCTTTTGGTTCCTTTATCATGAGTGGTGCAGGAAATAACAGTCCTACTTCATCCACTTCTTTTCTAACTTTGGGTGGTGGTCCATTTTCTCCTAGTGTACTGTCAGATGCATCTCTTTTCCTTGCTTGAAAAGCTCTCAGTTGAGATTTTGTGCTTTCTACCCTTTGCGCTTTTTCGAGAGCATCACTAAATGTTTCAACCTGTGCTGCAGCAAGGGCATCTTGGATTTCCAAATCTAATCCTTGGATAAACCGTCTTATTCTCTTCCGTTCAGTAGCCACCAATTCTGGGGCATATGTAGATAATTTCGTAAAGCGTGTTTCATACTCAGCTACGCTCAAAGTTCCTTGACGAAGCTTTATAAAATCATCTTCTCTCTTTTCTTGGACAAGTGGAGGAAGAAATTTCTCATTAAATTCACGTACAAAGTTTATCCAAGTCCTTAGGGTTTGATCCCTTTCCCACTTGTTTCTTACAACATTCCACCATGCTTGGCTGCTCCTTCAAGTTGAAATACAGCAAAGGTGACTTGTCTCTCCTCTGTGTAATCCAAGGCATCGAATATATTTCTTATATTCTCTAACCAATTCTCAGCCACCTCTGGATCAGGTCCTCCAGCAAACTTGGGTTGGGAAAATTTCTGAAACCGCTCTAAAGGTCGATCCTCCCCTATTTCTTGGTTTCTACGTTGGTTTCCTTGTCCAACACCTTGACCTTGTTGAGCTACTAAGAGCTCTAGGATATCCGTCATGCGAGTTAAAACTTGTCCCATTTGGTCATTTCCTCTCCCAGCACTTAGCTCGACATTTTGGTCAATATCAGATCCATTATCTACTCTTTCATTTCGGGGTTGTCTAGGTTGACGTCCCTTTCGTTGTCCTCTAGTTTCCATGTTCACAGCTAGTCTATACGCACATGCATAAACCTCATACTTAGCTAAAATTGAACTATACTCATATACCAGTAGCAACATTTAAAGAGGATGAAGTCACTTACACAAATAACATTATCACTATGCAAGTAAACACAAAGTAGAGTTCATTACATCATAACACAAATTATGGTCAAGTAAAGTTCATGCCAAGTCAAAGTCAATAACAAAAATAAACAAATGATTATCACCAGTACATTCATCTCTAAGGCGCAAACTCTTAGGTTCTACTCCCATCGTCTCACTATGGAAGATCACAAATAGGGATCCACTAGATTAATTGAAACTAGATGATTCTCGTTCCCTAACATGCTCGATTTCAATCCCAACACAAGGATCTTTTGAGTTACAATATTTTCCAACTTCCACTCTTAATTATTGTACCATCTTAACCAAACAATTATTGGTTTCCTGTAACCATTCACATGAAATATCGATTCATTCTTATTCCCCACAAATGGAGACATAAAGTCCCTATGATTGCCATCAACTCTCAAATACTCGGGTACAAGAATCCAAAATAGGATAATTCACAACTCGAGCCGGCCGGTCCCAAGAGTAAATCACCACATTCGAGATTCCTACCCAACATACATATTAAATTCCCTCCAATTATCAAGATAAAGGTTTTACAACCTACAATATTCATGATTCACAGCTTACATTTCTAGAAGGGCACTTAAGCCTTTACTCAATCACAAAGTAAGGACCATAACACCACTTGGCCCTATCTTGCTCCTTTGTAGAGACCACGCGAAGTGGCACTAAATTTCATCGCTACAAGCAATCATTTAACTTTCAGACTAGTCCCACAGTCCGGCATCCTAAACATTTAAGCCTAGGATACACTACAAAGATCTGAAACCTAAGCTCTGATACCAACTGTGACGCCCCCACTTCTCCCTAAGGCGAACCAAAGGGTATCCGCGGGACGCCTGCCCAGCTCTCGCCAGGACTCACTACAATCCATCATTCAAGAGCTCGAAATACTTTAAGTAACTTCAATACATAATTAAAGTACTTCAAATATCTCACACTTACAATTATGTAGCTTTCAAGCTTAAATACAACTCAACGGAAAAGGGGTACAATAGCCATCCGTTATAATATAACTTAAAGTTTCAAAAGAAAACAATCTAGTACTACTCACGAGCACCCTTGGTCTCGAACCCTGTAAAAGAAAACCACAACGTGGAATGAGCTACACAGCCCAGTGAGGTTCCAAGACACTCTAACAGTTCAAATAAATCAAGTAAGTTGGGCATATCATATGCATGGTTCAAGGTTACACAATGGCATGTTATCATGAGGTGATAATTTTTGTACGGGTAATTTGAGACATTTATCATGGTATGAGACATTGGCATGTATAGTTCACGAGTGATTGGAACTTATTACCGGTGCGAGTAATTAAACATATTACAGGTATGGAGCATTAACATGAAACAGGTTTCATGATATGAGTACATTGAACAGGCAACAGGTATGGAGCATATCGCAGGCATGGCTCAGGATTTCATGTTGACATTTTAGCATGAAACAATTATCATGATACAAGGTAAACATATACTGTAGGATACGGTGTTCCAGTGGAACTCTGTCGGTCATCTGTACCTTATGACTTCCAAATCCCCTCGGTTTGACTGGCCATCACCTTATCCCTCCAGTGGTAATACTCGAGTATACCGAAACGGTGTCCCAAGGTTCCAACCTACCCGACCGAGCCCAGTCCTGGCTCGAGTAGGTTAGTAACGATGAGAAGGGCCCAATTCAGCTTAGAGCTTACAACATGCACAAGTAATCAAGTAATTCGGCAAAAGGTAAAATTCATCATTTGAGTAGGTCGAGTGAGGTAAAGTACACACTCGCCTAACAATGATGGACAGCTTCATATAACATGCGATTCATGATAATCAAGTGATCAAGTAAGTTGGTGATCACGTAAGCAGATAATCAAGTAAGCAAGTAGCCGAATGGATTAGAAAACGGTAAGTAAACACGGTAAACGGTAAACGGTAAACGGTGGTAATTACGGTTAATTGGTAGACATATGTCATTTTAATAGGCCACCATTGGCCGTTTTTCACTTTTTCCACATAAGAGTCGAGGAGATTCACTCCAACCGACTTTTACTGTCATAGCATAATTAATCATTTAAACACATCATGTAGATATGCTCTCCAAGCATTTCATATCTAGTATTTCAAGTAATCACATAAATATGCTCTTTAAGCATTTCATATCGAATAGTTCAAATATACATATTTCAGGTATTTCATGTCGAGTAATTCAAGTATACCTCATTCAGATATGCATGAGTGTGGTAAATACTTAACATATAGCACTTAACAGTTAATAATCATGGGTTATGCATGTCATAGACTTATTCCAATTACGTATTCCTATATGGAACACTCACCTATAGCAACAAGAGAGTAATACTCAAACAAATGTCTAGGCGTCCACTTCGAGTTCCTCTTGAAGGTCCCCTTGAGCGCCTGGGCAAATAACCATTAACTATTATACACTATCACTTAGAACCCCTACTTATCAAAGAAGGTTATACAATCTAAGGAGAATTCATTAATTGGGCCTTAATTATTAATAATCGAGGCTCAAGAGTAAAGTTTTAAAGTCTAAAGAGAGAGACTAATATTTTCCATGAAATGGAGTTCAAAATGTTCAATCGGTATCGAGAAAAGAAGGCAAGTTTCCAAAATCTCATTTTCTAAGAAATTGATAAATTTCAGCTTTGGGTGTCAATTTTAGAAAAATTGTATCCTGCACTATGTAGGTCCAAAATTGGAAAGCTTGATACCATTGGAAACTTCTTCAAAAGCGCTAAAAGTTCCTAGAAGATACTTTTCCATGATTCCAAACAGAAGGTATTCAAAAATTGACTCAAAGTTGCTGCTTGGGACCATTTAGACAGTTTCGGGGTTGGTTTTTGAC